CGATACCCTGGCCAGCACAACACAGTATCCTGGCCAGCACAACACAGGACCCTGGCCAGCACAACACAATACCCTGGCCAGCACAACACGATACCCTGGCCAGCACAACACAGTGCCCTGGCCAGCGGAACACAGTACCCTGGTCAGCACAACACAGTACCCTGGAAGCACAACACGATACTCTGGCCAGCACAACACAGTACCCTGGCCAGCACAACACGATACCCTGGCCAGCACAACACGATACCCTGGCCAGCACAACACGATACCCTGGCCAGCATAACACAATACCCTGGCCAGCACAACACAGTACCATGGCCAGGACAACACGATACCCTGGCCAGCACAACACAGTACCCTGAAGATTGAGACACTTATGCAGCATATGGGAATCTTTATTCAGGAAACGTTTTGCCACACAGTGGCTTCATCGACACAGTACCCTGGCCAGCACAACACGATACCCTGGCCAGCACAACACAGTACCCTGGCCAGCACAACACAGTACCCTGGCCAGCACAACACAGTACCCTGGCCAGCACAACACAATACCCTGGCCAGCACAACACGATACCCTGGCCAGCACAACACAGTATCCTGGCCAGCACAACACAGGACCCTGGTCAGCACAACACAGTACCCTGGATGCACAACACGATACTCTGGCCAGCACAACACAGTACCCTGACCAGCACAACACAGTACCCTGGCCAGCACAACCCAGTACCTGGCCAGCACAACACGATAACCCAGGCCAGCACAACACAGTACCCTGGCCAGCACAACACAGTACCCTGGCCAGCACAACACAGTACCCTGGCCAGCACAACACGATACCCTGGCCAGCACAACACAGTACCCTGGCCAGCACAATACAGTACCCTGGTCAGCACAACACAGTACCCTGGCCAGCACAACAGAGTACCCTGGCCAGCACAACACGATACCCTGGCCAGCACAACACAGTATCCTGGCCAGCACAACACAGTACCCTGGCCAGCACAACACGATACCCTGGCCAACACAACAGAGTACCCTGGCCAGCACAACACAGTACCCTGACCAGCACAACACAGTACCCTGGCCAGCACAACACAGTACCCTAGCCAGCACAACACGATACCCTGGCCAGCACAACACAGTACCCTGGCCAGCACAGCACGATACCCTGGCCAGCACAACACAGTACCCTGACCAGCACAACACAGTACCCTGACCAGCACAACACAGTACCCTGGCAGCACAACACAGTACCCTGGCCAGCACAACACGATACCCTGGTCAGCACATCACAGCACCCTGACCAGCACAAAACAGTACCCTGGCCAGCACAACACGATACCCTGGCCAGCACAACACAGTACCCTGGCCAGCACAACACGATACCCTGGTCAGCACATCACAGCACCCTGACCAGCACAAAACAGTACCCTGGCCAGTACAACACGATACCCTGGCCAGCACAACACAGTACCCTGGCTGGAACAACACATCAAACATCCTCACACGGGAGACGAGCCTCATGACGACGTTTCGGTTGGTTCAGGACCACTGTCAAGTCGTAGCAATGTGTAGATCAAATATTTATAGAGAAAGTTTTCTTCTCGACAGAACTCTCTTGTAAGCAATTTCAGGTCACTGAAGTTCGTAAGATTGTTGTGGGAACTCTGTTTGTAGCAAGAGGCGTAGTGTACATCTCTGTGATCTGGGTACTGGTGTTCCCTCATGCGTTAAGTCATAGAGGTCTTTCCTACAGCTCTTGGCCCCTCATTCAGCCCATCAACAGTTCAGCTAGACTACGCCCTGGTGAGGTCTCTTTGTAGTGTTTCTCTTGGTAATTACGGGAAATTATTGACAGTGCTGTGTGTGTACTCACCTAATTTACTTAATTGTGGGTGAATTGGTCGATTCATAGTTCCTGTCCCCGCCTCTTCGCGGGTCGTTACTATGTCTATTCTTTCCCTGCTCTATGAGCTTTATCGTACCTCTTCTTAAAGCTATGTATGGATCCTGCCTCCACTATATCACTCTCCAGATTGTTCCATTTCCTGACAACTCTATGACTGAAGAAATTCTTCCCAACGTCACTGTGTCTCACCCTTGTTGTGACCCCTTGAGTGTGTGGGTGTGTGTGTGTGTGTGTGTGTGCGTGCATACTTCACTAGTTTTTGTCTCTGAGGACTGAGCTACAGCTCTTGGCCCCGCCTTTAGCCCATAAACAATCCGGTTGAACTATCACAGACCTTGTTGGGATTACATCATAAATCCTCTCGACTCTCACACTAAAATATATCTTTCTTACATCCCTCTACCTCACTGAAACTTCTCTTTTCCATTTGTGTTCCAGCGTCTGGTGGTCCTCTCATGTTCACAACACCCTCCCTCTCTCTACTGTGCTGAGATCAGAGCATCTTGTATCTTATATATTGTGATCAAATCTCCTTCACTTCTTCGTTTCTTACTGCTTGTTAAAATCTGGTTATCTTAGGCACTCAAGGGATCACGATGGTAACTCATGTGAGGAGAAAATCAAAAGAGAAGTGAAATGTAGAAGAGTCCACAAGACGGTTGAGGAGAATGTCAGCCTCAGATTAATTCAGGTGTATGCACCAGGTACTGAATACAGCAAGGGAGAGGAGGACCACAGGACTCAAAGTCATGTCTGCAGTGTTGTGTGTGAGGGCTGGTACGGCAAGACCACGTCTGCGAAGAATGCCAGGACACATGCCAGGACACATGCTGGGACACATGCTGGGACACATGCGGGACACATGCCGGGACACATGCCGGGACACATGCCGGGACACATGCCTGGACACATGCCGGGACACATGCCAGGGCTCATGCCGGGACACATGCCTGGGCACATGCCGGGATACATGTCAGGACACATGCCGGGACACATTCCAGGACACATGCCGGGACACACGCCGGGACGCATGCCGGGACACATGCCTGGACACATGCCTGGACACATGCCGGGACACATGCCGGGACACATGCCGGGACACATGCCGGGACACATGCCGGGACAAATGCCAGGACACATGCCGGGACACATGCCGGGACACATGCCTGGACACATGCCGTGACACATGCCTGGATACATGCCGGGACATATGCCAGGACACATGCCGGGACACATGCCTGGACACATGCCGGG